AATTATATATATATATATATATATATATATTTCGGAAGAGAGAAAGAGTTTTATTAATTAAAAAACCATCTAATTTTAATTATAAATTTATTTTCCGCCATATTTTTTAATCGAAATTCTTCAGCCGCTATCAACATCGCTCAGCGTGCTGAAGAAGAAAAAACAAATTATTCATCGTTCAGTGTTAAATTAACTTAACTTAAACACATTTAAGTACTATAAATTTTTTTATTCTTGTATAAAACATACAAGTTTTACAGTTTTTATGCTTTTTTATACGGCGATCGATACTCTTTATTGTTCCGGCAACGGGTCATAAGCCGCCGAAGAAAAACAATGCATATTTTCGAATTTCTATACAGCATATTTCAGAGAAAATTGCTGAAAATTTTGCAAAATTGGTGATATTTTAACATCGTAGTGGTTCGAACTATTATCAAGTAATCGATCAACTTAACTTCATAACTTTCTGTCACATGAATGAATATGGACATGTGTTATCGCAGTTCTCGAAGAAAAAGTCACTACATAGATGACGTATGATGATATTATCCACAGAATCATGATGATTTTATTGAAAAATTGCTATAAAAACTTCTATAAGCAAGAGTCTGCCCACCGCTCCAAGTACATAACCCACAACTGATAGATGATGACATTCTTTACGGAATTGGTATATATGAAGTGATTTAGAGAAAAAATTTAGAAATTTCTGTCATCGATATCACATATTTAGAGCTTTATAGAATCCATTTTAATATTAAAAAAAAAAAAACTAAGAGAGGATGCAACAGTACAAGTGCAGTAAAAGATATTTTCGGCGCTTGGAAAGTTATGGAGATTTTAAACAATTTTCCACCATTTTAAATTATATTTAATCAAGACTTAGCTCTATAGCGCTTATTCATTATTAGAAAATGTACCTTATTCTACTTATTATTGAAGAATTACATTTAAGAATTGCATTTTGAGGAAGTATATGCTACAAGTGATTAAAGAAAGAAACACTTTAGTCAACTGATTGTTTATGAGCTAATACTATATAATTAAATTAATTAAGTTAATATACAGTAGTTTATGCCAAGAATTGGCATATTTTTGGAAATACATTAGTCAATTGATAATCAAGAACAAGCATTGTAACTAGGGAATTCGATCCCGGTCCTTATTTCTAATCCCGGGATTTCGGGATTATACTTATTCTATCCCGGGATCCCGGGATTATTTCGGTATTGAGGGTTAATAAAAAATAAGAAAATCTTACAGAAATTAAAAATCAAAATTTAGACAAAAATCAACGTATTTTACGGTATACACCTAGTTAATTTAATCACTCTAATTAATCAGACTTACAGTCAGACTAACCAGACTTAAAATCACTGTCTTCATGTTAAATTTATTCTTTTTTAAGCATCACTGAGATCTCTTTAAACTCACATAAATTGAAAAAACTTTTATGTAACAAACTATGCAAATAAACGTTGAAAATTCACAAAAATCTCTCTTAACATCGACTAAATAGACTACTTTCATATAACAACCTAGTAAGTAGGTAGTAAAGTAAGTTTCTTAGGAAAAAGTATTTAAAAATAATATTAATCAGTCACATTTTTCTTAAATATAAAGAAAACTAATTTAATAGGAACATTCTAATTTGAATTGCGAAAATATGATCTGAGAAATAACAACGCATCTAGTGTCTCATCACCAAGTCTGCTTCTCAATTTGTTGCACATATATGCAGCTGCAGAGAAAACGCGTTTAGGTTGATGGAAGTTGGAGGAATCGTTAGTAAATACTTATAAGCTTCGAGGACACGGGGAGGATGGAAGAAAACAGTCCGGTCGACACGGATCGGGATTGTAGGAGTAAAGGCTATAATCCCGATTGTTTCGATCATTGTAAGCATGTTTTTCAAAAAATAAACGCGTTAATTTTGTAAATTCGGTCTCTGTGTGAGTCTCTCAGCGTTCAGCAAACCACTACCCCGAAACGTAAAAAGACTTTCTCGCATCATCCTGACAGATCGCGGACAAGGCGAGGGTCATAACCTTTTCACCTAAGGTCGACCCCCCCTAAGCGAGTAGCGTCAGGTCTATATTAACCACACTGGCAAAACAAGATGGCTGACACATTGACAGGTAAAACGCACTGAGTAGTGCTCTTGACTGCGCCAGAAAATCGATTGGCGCCCGCGAAAATTCAAAAATACAAAAATGAAGTATATTACCAAGTAACCCAGTGAGAACTGCTTGCCTATCATTTTAGTTGAAAATACAAGAAGTTTTATTCCAAGCAAGCATCACAAGCGCTCTTGGTTAATTTCTGCTGCTTGCTTGGAATAAAATTTCTTGTATTTTATATTAAAATGATAGGCAAGCAATTCTGTTAAAAGCACTGGCACTGAACGTTTCGCTTCATGCAGTCTATTTTGCAATTTTTTTAAAATGATGTCAATCCCGAAAATCCCGGGATTAGGAAAACTTAATCCCGAAAATTTTGGGACTGAAAAGTGGTCGGGATCCCGATTTTCGAGATCCCGGGATCAAATCCTCTAATTGTAACGTTTATCATCATTAGAACACTTACACCTCAACGGCACTTATATCCAACGAAGAAAGTACATTTAGTAGATATTAAAGTCATATTTGTCTAACTCATATCGATGATAAATTGTGAAAATTTAAATCGATTTCCAGTTCGAATATCCCACCAGGATAGGTTATTCTTGTATAACAGATTCGTAAAGAACCATTATAACCAGCACATTAAGGTTATACGGTTGATTAGTAATGTTATATCTGCCGGTTAGTTTAAATAAGGTTATACAGTTACTTACAGCATGACAGGCAATTAGATTCCAATATAATCAATTAACATGGTTGAGAAAAAGAATGATGCCCCGATTATGTGGATCTAAACTGTGTTCAAACTCGAATCCATTACGATATCAGTTCTTGCGTTACTTATAAAATACAAATAAAAATTTAATTTTAAATAATTTCTATCTTGTATTAGTTCTATGTCTCTTCTTTTAAATATATATATGTATAAAAAGTGCAAACAAATCAGCGAGATTTATTGAAATTCGAATCTAAACTTTTAAGTTTGAATCCTGTTCGTGACTTATTGAAGAATTTTGTTCCATTAATAAATAATCTATTGTGTAATTTAGTAAAAATGACATAGATATCATCCAAAAAGCAATAAAAATTATTAAGCCACTGAGACTTTCGTGATATACCTCATATATATATCAGAAAGGTGAAAGCCACGTTCTTACTGCTGTAGTCTTATGTGGTCACGTTTCTATCATTTACAGAAATGTTTACTTTTCTGTTTCTGGGATATACTTGCAGTTTAGTTGATAATTTTATAAGAACTTTAGCATTATTTGTAATATTCCACGTGTAACATACAGTAGCCATATTAGTAAATTAGCAGATGTGATGTTTATGAATATTGATAATTGCCTTTAATTCATTCTGAATGATTGATGAGTCACCAGATAATGGCTTTATACTCCTTTCTCCGATTTAAATTTTATGCTGAAAATTATATTAACATGTAAATAAGTCATAAAGTTTATGGAACGATTTTCTAAATGATCACATTATCTTAAATACGATAATTATGAATAACCCACACAAACTTGCTAGAACAAAACTAAAACTTATGCAAAACACGTTCAAACGTATACCACGCGCACTTGGAGCAGCCATTGTTCCATATAGGTGTGGGTTTTGTAATTACATTTTAAAATCACACATTTTAAACTCATATTTTGAACAGAGGTAATACTCACGAAATTGCGGATGGTTCAAAAGTCGGTTAACCAGGTTATATTTTAATGACTTTTAATATAAGATAAAGTTAGCTTAAAAACATTTCCTGAAGCAGTTTTTCGGTGATGGAATTATACAATAGATTACAATACTTTAACAACGTTATAAATGATCATCTCTGATTGGTTGAAAAGTTAAAGCCACTACTTAACTCTCGTATTTACGACGTAATTGGCATTTGAAATGTTTTAAACAAACCGTCGTAAATCGAAGTCTGATTTCTCATTGCTTCAATGGCATAAATGCAAGTTCCGTTCCTGTTAATAAGTTATGCATTACATAAAATAAAGCGCAGAAATGGCCGACAAAATTCTACGATATTTAAATGTGTGATTTTGTGTAATCATAAGTATTTACCTGTCTTAACAGAGAAAGGTCGTAAAGCTGGGGGTTAATGTACCGATTGTTCGTGATTATAATTTAATGAAAAGGTAATTTGGCCAATTATAATATAATTCGTTCGTTTTGATATAATTATCTAAATGAACATTTATCAAAGGATCCTCACTAATTAACGAATAAAATAGCAAATTACTTCATTAAGGAAACTTGTCAAACTCTTTAGATCCATCGAACTATTTAAAGGTTCGATATTGAATAAGTTATTTTTAGTCGTTCATTATACATTACATTGTATGGAGCTAAAAATAAAACCTTCTGCAGCAATTTAGTAACAAATTTTTCAGCAGAAAAGCTTGAAAATTTATAAATTTATGCCTGTTATATAATAAGCATAAAATTTGTTTGTATCATCACTATATGATTCTGAAGGCTCACCAATGTCGAAGCGGTTAAAACCACCGAACACAAGAGGTGGTTTCGGCATGATTTTCAGGATGGTCACGTGGAGTTTTCCGGGTTTTTCCACATATCAACACCTAAATAGAGAACAGTTTTCTACACAAAGTCCTTGATAGATCGCCCATATGTTTTGCTGCCGTATCCATCAAAATCAAAAACTCTTCATCAGGATACTGCGATTTTGCATTTTTACTGATTCGTTGACTTTTTACGTTTTATGATTGGTTTTAACGAATGTCAGGAACTTACAACTTCCAATAGTTGCAAGTTTAACAGTTGTAGCATGTTTTGAAAATAAAATTCATAATTTTTGAGTGGTTTTTAGCAGCAATTTTCGTCTTGAAGGGCACTCACACTAAAAATTTTATTACTATAGAAATTCAATGTAATTTAAAAAGATTATTATTTATATTTGTATAATCGATTAATCCAGCTGTCCTGTTAATTCTTAATGTGTTTACCGTTGCAGCTTTATGCTTTATTCTTCAAGATTAAATTAATTGTAAAATTAATATTTTAATGTAATTTTCGGATAATATTAAGTTTCCTTCGGCAGTTTGTGATTCTTGAAGAAGTTTTAATATTTTAAAATTTAAAAAACGATTTCAGATTCAAATTTACAAATAAGCTAAACAAGTTTCAATTTAAGCCGTACTCTACGAGGCCTTTTCCTCACTCTTAAATTATAATAAACTTAGAAACATTAATAGAAAATTTAAAGCCATATTTGGCAAGAAGGAGGACTTCTTAGGGCCTGAAAAAGTCTAAATCCGGCTTCGATTGAAGATTTTAACGTTAATTATCTACAATAACACATCTGTAAGGCAAGCAGAAGTTGCGGGTTCGAGTTCCGCTCTAATCTTTTATTCCCGAATATTTTAAATTAAAAGCTAATTTATTTCTAATTATTAACAAGAGATGGCGGCCTAACCGCCAACCTCTAGCCAAATTACTTTCTTGCTTATAGTTAATTAGCCATTATATAGCCCAATAAAAATTTATACATTATCTACTCCTGTTTCAGATTTTGATATAAAAATATATTGATTCTTAATTCGAAATCTTTCAAACTTTATTAATTATTAAAAAAAGTTCAAAAATTATTTTTATATATTTTTTAAAATATAAATTATTTTTATGTCGAGGAAAGAATTTGCACATCTTTAGAAGCTGAGGATTTGCAGAGCGATCGTCCGTATCGGTTTAGCATTTACTCAGTAAACTTTGGTAATTGTACAAGAATCAATAAATCTTTTTATGATACTTCGCTAATGTTTTCGAGCACTTCTGTTTGTCTTCTAAGCCACTTTATAACATGAATAAGAAAATGCGAGTGTCGTTTAGTGAAAGGAACGGGAATCACAACATTCATTACATTGTCTAATGTCAATTCGACTTGACTTTACTTAGTTATAATAAAATATAATAAGAATTACAGTTTTTATTGTATTTTACATTTTATTTAAATGATGTATCAAAAAGTCGTGAAGAAATTTATTGAGATTTTGCTTCTAAGTATGGGTAATTTAAGTAAAACTAAAAAAACCAGTGTTTCTCTTCAATTTATAAGCAATGGCTGATTAAATAATATTAGTTCCCTTTTAATTACTTCAGATAAGTTCCGATATAACGCCCTTCTAATTAGCGCCATCCTCGTAAAAGTGCTGATACATACTTGTGAATGGATCTACCTCATAAATATTAATTTAAAGTTAGACGTCTCAAGTTTACGTGATTTATTGTTGGTAATATAGTTTGCAGCGCAAAATTGTATACAGTATTTACTAATTCGCACGTACTGAAAAACGCAAAATTAAAAGTTCAAACTCATTATTGCATATAATTTTCATTGTTTGAGGTTGTTCGATTTACCGTCGATTTAGTGTTATTTTCGGAGGCTAACCGATGATGGCGCTAAATCGAATTATCTGGCTGGATTTTGTAACTATGGTACACGACGAGTCGGTAAAGATTTCATTTTCCACTGTGATGAGATCGGATCGATAGAATAAGGACAACGCAACACAAGCAATGTGCCTCCAGGGAGGACTTTCTATGGGAAATTGGCTCCTATTTAGGCACTATATAAATGGAGAAAGCCTGAAAAACTCCACGTGGTTGGTCTGTTGGTCTGACCCGAACCCGCGACCAACCGCACGTGTTCGGTGGTTTCATCCACTTGGCCATTAGTGGGCTCCTCACATAGAGGGATACGGATTCGAGTCGCGTTCGGAGCATCAAAAATTCATGAATATATTGAACTTTGTTTTCCTCCCTTGTTGTGATGCTGGCATAATCCATGATGGAAATAAAAACAGTCTGTTTTGTTTCCTCGAGGAATCTACGACTCACGTTTTACCCAGTTTATTCATAGTTTAGCTTCTTTTGAATGCCACCAGCTGGCAACTATATTTTTGTGTTATATCCCTATTGTATGTACACATATAAACACCTGCGTTTGTTATTTCTATTGTACTTATACGGGTAGGACGGTGGCTCAAAAGTCAATATCAGTAGAATCGCTTACAACAGAGTGAGACTGTTTGAATCGTTAAGTATCGGTTTACCGACTTTTGGGTCACTCTGGACAAACATACACAAACTTAAACCATAAAGATTTGAATAAAATAGCAATTTTTTAAAGATTTATCACAATTTAGTTGATGATTTATGTATATTTTTAGACAATAAATTTGATAAAATATGACTGAAATGATATCTGGCAACTGTATATAATTATGATGAATTATCTGTCAGTCAGGCTTTATAACTCTAGTAAAATAATAACCGCCGAAAGTACTTTTTCCCATGTTCGAAGAACAGAATTTGCATTGCTTTTCCCGCTTATAACTACTGTCGTTTAAAAATAAATCATTAAAAAAGTAAACTAATTTAAAGATTTAAAATTAACGGAATCAGCGCGTCGCGTCGTCGCTTCGCTTGACGCACGCGAAGCGCCACTCCCCAAAATAATGACGATTATCGAGATGTATTAACTAATGATAGATTCAAACTTATGTTTTGTTTTCGCACGTAAAATTAATTACTTTTGCGCTTAAATTTGCCATTTTAGAGCCCAAATAACAGTCGCCGAGAGGAAAGCCTGCGAGACCAATATGGCGTAATTAACCGGTAGTTCATTATTATTCCATTAAAAGTCGTTTTCGTAATTGTTTCATTTATTTCAGAGTACAAATGAAAATTTATTATTATAATTAATCGAAAACAAACACGAAAAATTAAACACTGTAATCATCTTTAAAATTTATTAAAAATAATA